TATTGCTCAATACTCCTACAACACACAGATCGAGGTCATGACTCGTGATCTCGAAGTCACCCTTTTGTTTCAACTTAGGCGATCTAGTCTATACTTGTATGCTGTGCGCATCACATAGTAAATCTAGGCTAATAACCGGAATAAGAATGCATAATGTTTTCAAAACTAGATATCATGGTTAGTAGAGGTCGATATTTGATCGGGCGAGCGGGGGTGCTCACGAAGTGACCTTCCCCAATCGTACCCAAGTTCCCGAGCCGAGGCAACTTTGGTGATGACGGACACATGACCTTAGGCAATGAGTTAGGGTTTCCTAAATTTCTCAAAATAAAATATTTAGGTGGCGACTCTGTATCTGGCAAAGCAGTCTATGTTTGGCACTTCTTTCAAAAAAATCTATTTTCAAAAACGATTTGCCGGATTTGGACTCTTTGATGATTCATCGGTCTTGCATTGCACTCCGCGAGATTAGATACAGGACCGTGACACAAATTGAGTTTGAACTGCAGTAAGGCCCAAGAGCGCGTCTACACTAGGGAAGAAGAAATTTTCTTTCGGATAACATGAAATGGAATGAGTATCCACTATTTGTGTCACACGCCAGTAGTGTGAAAATAATTTATATAATAATCTAATATATATAAACTTTAGCCAAAATTTCATTTTCTCTCCCAAGTGAGGCTTATGTGATACTTTCTTTGTTCTTATAATGTATATTTTTAAAAATTTTGTACCATTTACACATAACATTAATGTAATTAAAGAAAATGTGTTTTTTTTATTTATAGTAAAAAAAGTGTTATCTAAATATACTTTATAGCTATAAATTTTAATATCTCAATTATAAATGCACTAGAGTAATAAAAATATAGTATATCTACAATTTTAGAGTAATGTTAAGGATCCCAAATATTTTACCAAATGTCTTACATAAGTCATGTGAGACATTTGGTAGAATATTTGGTTATCATTTATGGTTATCAAATGAGTTTAATTAATTTTCTATCACGTTTTTTTTTTGAAAAATGCTATGGATTTCAAGCAAATTACCAAATAAATTATTAAGGCTGTGTTTGGAACGATTTCCAAACTATGATTTTACCCCCACATTCCAATATGATGTTTGGATAGGTATTTGGAACTAATTTTTCAGAACTTTGCAGAAAACTCTGTGTGAGGCTCGATTTTCAAATTTTTTTTTTTATAAAATTTGGCCTAACCGGTCGTCCGGCCGGTTGACCAGAATAGTGCAATTTTTATTTATTTATTATTATTATTATTATTATTTTAATTGACATATGTTAATTTTTATATATTCGAAAAAAATATTTTTCGGGTTTTTAAAATTTTTTTATGTGCTTTAATTGAATTTTGAGTTGTATGTTTGGTTATGAGTTGTAAGTTTTTGTATCAAATATCATATGTCACATCAAAAATTTTCTACTCAATTCAAAACTCTTTTACCAAATAAATTTTTCACACTCAAGTCATAATTCCAAAACTTAAAAACTCAAAATACAATTCATACTCTCAAATCATATTTAGAAAACTCTACCAAACGCAACCTAAATCTTTCACATGGGTGTGAGACCCACACATATGTGACTTGCATGGGTCCCACACCTATGTGAGAGGTTGGATAATTTGTTTGGTAATTTATTTGGAATCCCTAGCATAACTCTATTTTTTTAAAAAAAAAATTTACCTACATTTTAATTGATATCATTTATGGTTATGAAATGAGCTTAATTAATTTTCACTAAATACATTTAGGCCTTGTTTGGGATACTCTAAAAAAGCAAAAAAAGTCAAACAAGTCACTATCCTATTTTAGTCACATCATGTTATTTAAGTTACATCACTTCTCTACCACATCACTTCAAACCCAACCCATATTTTACAAAAAGTCAAAAAGTACACTTATTTAGATTATCCCAAATCACCTCAACAAGTGCTGAATTTAGTTGTCAAATAGCACGTAAGGGCTCCATTTGAGAATAGATTATTGAGTTATGCTAGAGATTCCAAATGAATTATCAAATATTTTACCAAACCTCTCATATGGGTGTGAGATCCACACAAATTACATGTGTGTGGGTCCCATACCCATGTGAAAGGCTTGGTAAAATATTTGGTAATTCATTTGGGATCTATAGCATTTTCCTAGATTATTTTAGTTAGTTTTTGAACTTTTTACAAATAGAACGTAAAAAAAATAAGTGAAGAGAGTGATATAACGAGGGTGGTTGGGAATCTAAAATTGAGACTAAAATAGCCTCAAATACAAAAAAAGTCAAATAGCCAAACTAATAATTTATATTTATAAAAAATAAAAATTAAAAAAAAAACCAAAAACCAATGCAGCCTGCGTTGGGTAGGGCCAGGGGAGCTTTTATCTACATACACCAAATACCCTCTTTGCATATCCTTCTCACTACACACACCAGAAAAAATCATTCCTAATTCTTTTACTCACTACACACACATTTGATTCCACATCTACCCTCTCACACACACACACACATACACACACACACACACACACTCAAACCCAGCTCTCCTGACGGTGCACACCCATTGAAGCTGCATCTCTCACATTGCTCTCCCAACGGTGCAAATACACCCCTTAAAGTTGCATTGCATCTCTCACACTGCTTTCCCAACGGTGCAAATAGCTCCCTGCTTCACACAGCTGGGGTGACTTTTTTCACCAATCTTTAATTTTTTCATTTGCCAAATAGCTCCCAACGGCTAGCATACCCCATGTTCATTTGTAATGTAGAGTTTTTCACTTGTAATGTAGAGTTTTTCATTTGTAACCGTCGTTCGGAATTGGTTTTCCGAAATATAACAATTTGTTCAGACGTAGAAATCCGAAAATAATCAATAATTTCATCAATAGATTTCCGAAAATGTTTCATTGTTTCGATAGTCAACTTCCGAAAAATTTGAATTTGGACAACACTCAACTTCCGAAATTATGTTTTTGTTTCGGATTTCAACTTCCGAACAGAATATGTATTTTCGGTTGTGAACTTCCGAACAGGTTTTTTTTTTTCCCATTCCGTTGTATATTGTTGTTTGATGGGAGCTTATATTTCCATATCCCCATTCCCCTCTTTACACACACTTAATAAACACACTTATTATAATTTACACACACTTATTATAATTTTGTTAAACACTTATTAGTAATTTCACTTGAATAAACACTTACTATAATTTCCCCACCATGGCCATGTATATTGTTGTTTGCATGGCCATTCTTTATTTACACACACTTATTATAATTTTACACACACTCTCATTAATTTTACACACACTCTCTTTATTTACACACACTTGTTTGCATGGCTATTTTTTATTTACACACACTCATTACACACACTTATTATTTTTTGCAGATAATATGGATTCTGAATGTCAACAACGTGACCCACCTACTGCTTCAAATAGACGACGTCGTGAAATGAATGTAGACCATGAACGGCGATGAGGGCGTGGGCGAGGACGAGGTCAAGGTCGTGGTCGAGGTCGTGATCCAGTTTCGGTAGAATATAATATCCCCAGTGCCAGTCAAAGTCGGAGCCGAAGCCAAAGACGAGTTCAAGGTTATGATATGCCTGACATTGCTGTGGAGGATGCCTCTTTACCTGATTCTCCTCTTGTCCAGGAAGAGGACCTTACTCATGCTTTTCCAGGTGGACTGACTGATCCATCAATACTGCGGAGTTTCAATAGTCATGTCGCTGCAGCTGTTTGGCACGAGGAGGTAAACATTCTTGAGTAGAAGTGAAATTCATTTGTATATGAATTTTTTTTTCCCTGTGTGTGTTGTATGGTAGTTTCTAATGAGATATTATTTGTGTTATAGGAACAAGGGCCCCTAAAGTGTCATAATCACTCTTCAAAGATCCTTGCATGGCCATGGTGGTCAGTAGACAACAACACCAGATTCAAAGCCATTATTGAGCAGTCTGGGCTGTCATAGTTAGCTCGTTGCACTTATCGGTTCGTCAACAAGCTTCTAATCTCCAATTTTGTTGAGAGATGGCAACCTGAGACGAACACATTTCACATGGCAGTTGGTGAGATGGCCTTGACCCTGGATGATGTTGGCACTATTCTTGGCCTTCTCATTGTAGGCAAATCAGTCAGCGTACCAGATGTAACAGATCATCATGGAGTTATACTACTCGTTTATGGCTTGGGGATTACTGAACGTGCAGCGTATGAAGAGGTTTCTACTGCTGGTGGCAATTCAGTCAGGCTTGAGTGGTTGCGAAGTCAGTTTGCTGGTGTCACAGATTCAGACCCCAAGAAGGCTACACAGTGCTCTGCTAGAGCTTATTTGTTGTTTCTGTTGGGATGTACACTCTTCAGTGACAAGAGTGGCGGCAGGGCTCCTGTTGTTTACTTTGACTTATTGATGGATTTGGGATTCATTCATACTTACGCCTGGGGTGCTGCTGCATTAGTATTTTTATACAGACAGTTGGGGTATGCTAGCCGATCCAGGGTTAAGCAGATGGGTGGTTATATGACTATTTTGGAGGCGTGGATTTATGAGCACTTCCGTCCTCACCAGAACATGGGCTACAATGAAGACATGCCACACGTGTACCATAGGGCATCTAGGAGAGAGGCGGGTTCCTCCATTGATCATTTGAAATCTTTTCTAGCCGAGCTTGATAGTTTGGTAGCTACTGATGTAAGTTTACTCATCTTGAGATAATTTTAACACTTTCCATTTATCTTACCCTTTATATACTTTAATTCAAAAACACTTTACGTTTATAGGTTATTTGGGATCCATACCACAGCTGTAGAGATCGGCATCCATGTAACCTGGTTACGTTCTACCATGGATGCTTAAAGTGCTTAGACGTTGTCGAACCCTATCATCCAGATAAAGTTCTAAGACAGTTTGGCAGGGTTCAAACCATCCCAGATGCACCGTTAGAACCCAGTCGTGGTGCTCGAGGCAACATATCTGCACGATATACAGTCATGTATAGATACTTGGATAGGATCTGGGAGGCTTGGGATAACCACGTGTTATTTGAGCAACGGAGGAGCACACTAATTCGTCAGCCTTAGGAATGTGTACCGGGTTACATGGATTGGTATAAAAATATCACGCACCTATATGTTGAGCACACTGATGAACCGCGTGTCCATGACCATCAGGATTTCAGCCAACATGTCGATGTAATATATTATCCTCTCTTATGCATTTGTAACTTACTTTTTATTTTCTGATATGTTCCTTAAAATGTGATATTCTTTTCAAATGCAGCGTATTGCACATGCACTGCAGATTTCACATCCTATTATTGACGCTAGTTATGAGGAGGGGATTCGACATCCTTATCGACTTTACCAGGCTATCGAGAGTATGACGCATGTCCTTCAAGGTCAGCACATTGACGAAGCTGGACCTAGTTATACTAGAGGTCGCTTTCCATCTTCGACATTGACATACAGTCGTAGGCCTAGGCGTAGGCATACAGCTGATTCGTGACATGTTATTTGTTAGTTGATGAATTTTTGTAAGATGGTATTGTTGTAATGGTAACAGTGGTTAATATTTTCTTATTATAATGGAATGGCAACAATGGTATTGTAATGACATTGTAATGACATTTTATTATTAGAATGGAATGGTAACAATGGTCGTTGATTTTGTAAATGATATTTTCTTATTACAATGGAATGGTAACAATGGTCGATAACATTTAATCCAGATTGCAAAACAGAACACATCAACATCAAAAACACATCCATTAATTTCTTCCATAATTCTAACATTGTCAAATGCATACATGTGTCATGCGACATCAACAACATCAAATGTCTCTCGAGTAGCTACATTATCATGAATAATGTCCTTGAAATGTTGAATGCGACGCACATATGCATCATCCCAGTCGACAGCGCAATGGTGACGGTATTTTCGCCAATTAGTGGCTATAGGAGGAACTGGATGGCCTGGCTGCAACAAACCTGCACCAAATATCAATTGAGTTAGTGGTCATACCTCATAACTTCTTGTACATGCACAAACCCAATTTATAAGTTTCTGTTATACCTGGACAAAATGATTTTCGTTGACAAACTCAATGGCAATCTCACGTCTATCAAGTTGAGGTACTGACACTGTTCTAAGAGGTAAAAAGGTGAGACATTGTTGTAATGACAAGTGGTATAACATAAGATTGTAGCACGATGCAACAAGATGCCCCATATCTGGCATAGTCATCCAATGTGAGTATCCAGGACTGTCTTGAAAGTATGACAATATGCTTGTCAATTCTTCAAACCTTTCGTAGGACCCATAAAGTGTAATGTATTCCTCTTTGTGTGTGTGCAGCTCACCCAACAGATCACGCCTAACCTGAGCCCAATCATCTTCTGTATGACCAATTGAAGCAGCTATAGCCCTGAAACCACAATTCCCATCTGCAGTTACATCCTTGACAAACTTAATGTATGGTTTCAACCCAGAAGGGAAAACATCAACATATGCACCAGGTTTCACTGTTCTAGTAATGTATACTTTCCCTTTTGGATTCACCTTCTTCTTTCCCTTAACAGGTCGCTTCTTCTTGGTTTACAGAGTATAAGCTAATGTAGTGATTTGAGTGTCCCTAGGTGAGAAGGAATCATGTCTAGATTACACCAACTCAAACGCACACGGGTCACGACAGGTAAAAACATTGTTCTTCTTATGATCCCGAGGACGTGTTTTGGGCTTGACCTCCGGCTCAACAAGAAAAGTGCTTCCCGGATATACAATCTCTTTCAACTTCTTCAAAAGCTCCAACCGCATGGTTTTATCACTTTCATTAAACTTGTTCACAAACAACTCTACTTCTGCATGATAACTCACCTCTGTTTCCTCTTCTTTCTTGCATATGGAGATATGAAGTTGCCTCCACTGTGAGTGTATGGTAGCAAGTGGTATAAGACGATCTTGTCTGATGTAGTCAGTAATCTCATGGGCACAAGGTAAACCATGAGTGTGGCGAAGGACGCATCCACAAGCTTCAACATCAATACCAATAGAATTGGCTCTCTTACTCTCTACAAGTAAATACTCCAATGCAGAGATAGGCACATTACCCCGTAGCTCCTTGAACTGAGAAGGTTTAAATTGATGTTGCACAACAGTTAGACTTTTTTCAAATGAAGCTTTGATATCAGTGTGTTGCAACTCAAGCAGACTGTGTATTTTCTCAAATGATGCCTGAAATGAGACTTGACATTAACCCAATTGTCTTTTAAGTTTTGCATGTGCACTCTCAGCCCTGTTCAATTCAATGTAAGTCAAATTAAAATCAAGTACGTGACACTTATTAATAACATATTGAAGAAAAGTAATCTTACCGGTTCGTTGTAACATTGCTACAATGCATACACGTGTCTATCTGTGCCGCCACAAATTTGTCCTTGTAAGGAACCAACCAAGTATCCATGATGTATTTGACTGCATTAGAATAACTACTGGATTTCTTAAGTAATGATTTAAGACGCTCATCATATTGAATTTCAGAAGATAAATACACTAAAGAGTTCCACTCATTGTTGAACTTCTCCCATTTCTGTTGTGTCTCAAACATTTTCTTGCATTTGGTCAATACATTCTTACTGATATGCCAACGACATAATAAATGTCTGCCACTTGGGAATATCTTCTGTATGGCATTCATCAAGGCTAGCTCTCTGTCAGTAACAATAATTGTTGGCACAACAAAACCATCCATGACATCACGCAATGTAGCGAACACCCACGCATAGTTATCGACCCTCTCATACTGTAAGTATGCGATAGCTACAGAGAATGTCATTTCAATTGATGTCACTCCCACAATTTCAAGAAGAGGAAGACGATATCTGTTGGTTTTATATGTGTAATCCATAACTAATATACGTGGGAAAGACCGAAATAAGTCCAAACTGGTAGGATGTGCCCAAAACAAGTCTGTCACAGTCATCGTGAACTCTTTAGACCGATGGCGCTCAATGTAATTATACTTGACCAATTCACCCAATAAGTGTTGCATCTGTGATCTTTCAGCTCTCTGTACCACCCTATTTCGATGGCGTACATTGTAAATGGTTTTAAGTGTGCTTACATTGAGGGCATCTCGCTGTTTCAAGGTTACTAGGATTTGTTTTGGCCGAACCATGTTCTTTGACATATCCATTAACAATGCTTTCTCATCCTTTGATAGCATCCCCGCATATGAATGTCCCTCAAGGTGCTCCGCAGGTGGATGATTATGCAATCCGCATACTACAGTCAATGTCCATTCATCATGTGTGGTAAACCTGTGAGCCCTCATATCAAAAGGACAACTACACTTCTTCGTACCGGTTATTCTTGATATATTGTTGCTATCATGTTTTAACTTCTTTGTCGCTCTATATTGGCCACTCCTCTCACAAGCAAGATACATCCTAGGTCTTTTTTTCCCTCCACCATAGTCTAATGTTTTGATTACAATGACCAAACCATTTCTCTTTCCAACTTCACGTACCCAGTTGAGCAATTCATCCTTACTTTTGAATACCTACAAAGTCAAATAAATATTATCAAACATTTACATTTGGTGAGCAATTCGAAACATAATCATTATAATTTCGTAGAGTAAACCTGTTCAGTTGTGAATTAAGTAGTGCAATCCAACACAAAATCTGCGCAAACCTGACTTCCTTAAGTTGACACATATTCCTACATGTTTTGTATAACATTACAAATTTTTAATAGCATTATAAAGATTAATTTGCAATTCGAAACTGTAAATTTGGTATGCAGTTTGCAAATTTGGAATATAAAATGGGAAATTTTTTTTTTACTTCATTCGGAAGTAGTTGTCCGAATTTATTTTAAAATTTCGGAAGTTGAATGTTGTAAAAGTTAACTTTGTTCGGACAACAACTTCAGAATTTAAATACTTTGTTCGGACAACAACTTTCGAAATTAATTACTTTGTTCAGATAACAACTTTCGAAAATAAATACTTATTTCGGTAGTAGATTTCTGAACCAAATAATACAATTCGACTCTGGTTATCCGAGCGACGCTGGAAAAAAAGAAGAAGAAAGAAACTCACATTTCCTTCGCTATGTTTCTCATAAACACTTATTTGCTGATTTTCAGAAGACAAATCCTCCATAACAATGATGCTTTCCCTACGAATGAGGAAGGTTGATGAATGAGTGCATTGAGAAGCTACGAACTTGGAGCTTAATGGAAGAAGCTACGAACTTGGAAGAAGCTAGGAATGAGTGAATACTCTACTTTCACTTCTACCTCAATGAAGCTACAAACTTGGAGACATTTTGAATTGGATGGATGTGTGCACGATGCAACAGATGTGAACTCTAGATGGATGTGTGCATTGAGATGTTTTGAATCAACAATGATGTCTAAAATAGTAATTTCACTTAGGGATAAAATTGTAATAAAATTAAATATCTGTGTATAGAGGGGATTTGGTGTGTGTAGATAGAAGCTCCCGTAGGGCCAGCCTAGTCCCATAGGGCGAAATGGCACTTTTGCCCCTATAGGCCAATTTTAAAAAAAGTAAAGTTAGAGATAAATTTATCATTTTAACCTCAAATATCATTTCAAACACATTTTTCAATACAACAACTTAAATAAAAATTTATCATATTTTTCCAAACACAAAAATTAAAATAACCTACTAAAATAACCAAAAAATTTAAAAACCTCTAAAATAACCACTTCTTAAACACCCACAATAACTTGTAGTGTTGACCTTTTGACTTTTTTTTTTGATTATTTTAATTTATTGACAAATGAGGCCCAGTGTAAACATGGAACACAATTTACAATCCATAATTGTATAATTATTTTTTGCACTTTCCATCTTAGTGTATATAATTAAAAATAAAATTAGTTATTACACGATGACTACCTAAATTATTGAGAAATATTACTTTGATCTATTAAACTATAAAAACATATAAATAGATTTCTTATTTTTCAGAAGTATCACTTTGTTCTATAAACTATAAAAATGTATAAATCAACTCTGTAAACTATAAAAAAAAACATACCAATTAAATTTTCTAATAGAAGTGGTCAAAATGAAATATGTCAATAGTTTATGGAGGTCCATTTTATGCTTTAATAGTTTAGAGAGTTAAATAATATGAAATGCATATTTAAACAACGCTAGGGAAGAAGAAATTTTCTTTGAGATAATATGAAATGGAATGAGCATCCACTATTTGTGTCACCCGCCAGTAGTGTGAAAATAATTTGTATAATAATCTAATATATATAAACTTTGCCCAAAATTTCATTTTCTCTCCCAAGTGAGGCTTATGCGATACTTCCCTTGTTCTTATAATACTAGTGAGGAGGCTGCATGCAAAGCACGCTAGCTGATGCCCATTAAAATATTCATTAATGAAAGGAGATAATAATAATGTAATTTTGTTAAATCTGTATAAATCTGTAGATTTAAACTTCATTTTATATAATGAAATACTATATAATTGTATGTAGTATTTTAAAGTAATAATGCCGTATATATATGATATAATGAAATACTATTTATGTATAGATATTATAATTTGAAGAATATTAAATATAAAGTAAAGAAATAATGGGGGAAAAATGATTCAACCATGCTTGAAACAAATATTTGGTCAAAATTCATATATTTTCTTAGCAGATTTGGTGCACATTAACCATGGCATAGCAATAACTCACAGCTCAAACTTTCCGACAAAAACATAGCATGGCAAAAATGAGACAGTATCAAATGCAAATCAACATGAATTTTAATAATAGGTTAATCTAAGAATTTTTTTTTTTTTTTCAACTTAAGCATATGAAATCTAGAAGAAAAATTTATATCGCTAAACTTAAGATAGTGTATGAGCACCTTAATAAAGGTAAAACTCTACTTCAAAAAGTTTAAATGCAATTAAAGTAGCAGACTATTAGAAAGATAAAAAACATAAATATAGAGAGTAGAAAAGAAAAAAAAATAATGCATCCAAAAAGTAGTACACTTTTTACATGTCCATAAATACAAAAACCAACAAAACTGTTTAAAATATTTCAAAATTATGTTTGGATCTAATAACAAGTACACTGAACAACATGCAATACATGAAGAACTACATAACATAAAAATCTAAGACAAAAACCTAAGATGAAGCATTACTTTCATCATAATGCAACTCAAATTCAGAACCATCATATCTCTTTATAAATTCTTCATCTTTTTTAGCAATGTCTTCAGAGATCTTTTTTTTAGCAACATTCACATTAGTTTTTGACGTTAGGTGTTTTCAACCAGGCCATTTCAATGAATATGAACACAATTCCAAGTCAATAAGTTTATCAAAGAATTTTTCTTTCACAGTGCAAAAGAAAAAAGAAAAGATAAACAATTCATTCCTGTGTTTGGTTGTACACTTTGAAATACACATTCATTCCTATGTTTTGAGCACATTCATTCAAGTTTTTTGTGATCAAAACCAGTCCACCCGTGTAACAGCCCATTAACAATCCTAGGTATGACCCATTGAACCCCCCAACATCTCATAATTTCAGACCAAAGCTCCAAAACTGATTCACTTCGTCCTTATAGAAAATGCATACTGAGCTAATATTGTTATTGAGCACACCAATTCTCTATAAATAAATAAAAACAGAGGTTTTGATTCTTCCTAACCAAACCAGCATCCAAAGAATTTGGATATAATAAAAATAATCCCACAATATACATAATTCATCTCATATCCTAAACATATTATGTCCCAGTATATCCAAATCTAATCCGGACAATTAAATAGGGCCTATATGCTTAGAACCAACCAACCAATAGAGTAATCCAGTTTAGAACTTAATTCTTGGACTACAATTAACTACAAAACAAAGTTAACAATGCAATTAGAATTTCATAGCAATGAGAATAAATTTGCAAAAGAATGAGATTAATCTTGGATTTCAAAGATAATAATTCGAAGAATTCTTTTCAAAATGTATTTAATCAGGTCCATGACTCACAGGATCATTCCTTTTAGCATCATAACACATCATGAATTCCCATTGAAGTCGCTTATTCTACTGCCACTCAAGTAGAATTCATACCATTCAAATTATACACCCATCCTAACATCATAGCCCTCCTTTTGTGCTCCAACCATACCACAATCTGACCCCAAGATCAGATGCTTAGAAGTTGATAGCAATTACCAAGAACTTTATGCATACTCACAAAAGGCTCTAAGGCCCTCACAGATTTATCTTGAGAAAACTAAAATTAAAAGCTTTTACTTCTTAAGAAATGATGTTTTCTATTTTATAAAAAAAATAAAAAATAAAAACTTAGACTTGTTCATAATAATAATTATGAATGAAGAGTAGTGTATTCCTCTGTTATATGAACACCTAGCATGCAAAAGGTAGTAATATTATGCCTCAAGTTGAACTGAACAAATAACATGGCAGATTGAAGGACTACATCATCTTGAAGTTTTCGTTTTGCTTTTCTAATTGATATTTTGAAGCCATATCTTGAAGTTTCTGTTTGAATCTTCCTATTTTTCCCTTCATTTTATATCTACTTGGAGTTGTCTTTAGGTTGTCAAATTATACACCCATCCTAACATCATAACCCTCCTTTTCTGCTCCAACCATACCACAATCTGACCCTAAGATCAGATTGTATTATATATACTCTTAAGAAACTTCACAATTGTTAACAAAAAAAAAAAATTAATCGCACGAAGACCAGGGCAGCAACTGAGGAACAGGGCATGGGACTTGGTGTTTTACGATCAGTGAAAGTGCACAAAACGGGGGCAAACAACATTCTTCCAAGTGTGCTGGTCCATGGTGGCATGACATGCATTCACATACTTGTAAATGACAAATTTGAATTTGAGAAATACTTTTGGTATATATGAATTTCATGGATTGAAAATCAAGGCCATACAAGAATTTTTTACGACATTATTAAACTTAGCCCTGTTTTTTTGTTGTAATTTTGTCAATCCTTTCAAAAAGTACGAATTGGTTAATGAAAATTTTGAAACACCTATCATTTTCATTTTTATGCCCCCCAAAAAAAAAGTTTTAAAATGTCAAAAACAACTTTTTGATATTTCCTAAAAGTGAGTTGTTTTCAGAAATATTTTCCCAAAACAATTCACCAAACAATTTTTACTTGTGTTTTTTAAAATAAAAATAAAAAAATTGAAATATGAAAAAGGGGGGGAAATTAGGGCTACACAGTTTTAACAAAAAAAATCAATGAAATAAAAAAATTTAACAACGCAAAGAATAATGAAGAGAAAAAGTAACAGAACAACAAAATTTACCATATCATAACTCAAAAATCCATCTTCCAAATAACCTTTGTAGGAGAAAAATCAATTTCTTTGATTGAATCTGACGATATGGTTCGACACCGTAGATTAACTCCAAAACACACAACAAAATCATAACAATAATGAAATCAAACATTTAACAACACAAAGAACAAATAAGGAAGAGAAACAATAACAAAATCGAGAAACTTACCATATCAGAACTGAGAAATCCATCTTCGAAAGACCCTCTGTGGAAAAAAAAGGAGGAAAAAATGACAAATTAAATCTGGTTCAATCTATTTCTTGCATATCGCATTAGCGGAGACGTGCAGAGAGAAACGAATCAAAAACACAAAAATGAGAGAGAGGGAGAGAGAGAGAGAGAAAAAAAAAAAAGCAGAGCACTTTCTTTTCATGATTTGCAAAATAGAGCAACAGCTGGAAGCATTAGCAACCATATATTCTTTTCATGATTTTCCATTATTAACCCCTAAAGCCTTACAACACAACACAAAGGATTCAAGAAGGGTAAAATAGGCTTTTTACCATTGCAGATGCAGAAAGCACTGTTCATTCGAGGATAAAATTACTGTTCACTTCTCATCCATGCTTTATATATATTGTATAGATATATTTTTTAAAATTTTGTACCTTTTACACATAACATTATACAATTAAAAAAAATGTGTGTGTGTTTTTTTTTTAATTTATAGTAAAAAAGAAGTGATATTTAAATATACTTTATAGCTCTCGATCAAAAAATATATATATATACTTTATAGCTTTAAATTTTAATATCTCAATTATAAATGCATTAGTGTAATAAAAATAAGTATCTCTACAATTTTAGAGTAATGTTAGGAATCCCAAATATTTTATCAAATGTCTCACATAAGTCATGTGAGACATTTGGTAGAATATTTGGTTATCATTTATGGTTATCAAATGAGCTTAATCATTTTTCTGTCACATCTTTTTAAAAAATGTTATGGATTCCAAGTAAATTACCAGATAAATTATCAAATCTCTCACAGGGTGTGGGACCTACACATGTGATTTGTGTAGGTTGACACCTATGTGAGAGGTTTAATAATTTATTTGGGATCCATAACATAACATTATTTTTTTTAAAAATTTTTTACCTATACTTTAATTGATATTATTTATAATTATCAAATGAGCTTAATTAATCTTTACTTAATACATTTAGTAAGTGCTGAATTTAATTATCAAATAGCACCTAAGGGCTCCATTTGATAATAGATTGTTAGTTTTTTTAACTTTTTATAAATAGAAGGCAAAAAAAAATGAAGACCTTTTGACCTTTTGACCCCTTCTTTTCTTTTCTTTTTTTTTTTTCTTCACTTATTGACAAATGAGGCCACGTGTAAACATGCAACCCAATTTACAATCCATAATTGTATAATTATTTTTTGCACTTTCCATCTTAGTATATATAATTAAAAATAAAATTAGTTATTACACTACGACTACCTAAATTATTGAGAAATATTACTTTGATCTATTAAACTATAAAAACATATAAATAGACTTCTTATTTTTGAGAAGTATCACTTTGTCCCATAAACTATAAAAACGTATAAATCAACTCTGTAAACTATAAAAAAATGTACAAATTAAATTCTCTAATAGAAGTGGTCAAGGTGAAATACGTCAATAGTTTATGGAGATCCATTTTATGCTTTAATAGTTTAGAGAGTTAAATAATAATTCTCAATAATTTAAAAATTCATTTATATACTTTTATAATTTAGTAGGTAAAGTGATATTTTTAAAAATTTGAGAGACCTCCATGAAAATAATTTTTTTTGTTCAAGAAATATGAACCCAAATACCATTAGGCCTTGTTTGGGAACTAATCCGTTTAGTCAAAAAGTTATTAAAAAAAAGTTAAAAAGTCAATAATCTATACTAAAAAGTCAAAGATTCTCTATTCTCTCTATTTTTTGCATATATTTTTGTGGAAAATTACAAAATCATCTCAAACGTACTAATTTTTTTTAATTTATATTTTAATTAAATAATTAAAAAATTACTAAATTAACCTGCTCCCAAACGAGGGTGCAGGTAACTTTTCCTATTATTTTCTTCCAACATCATAAACCATTCTGGCAACAGCAACACTATACCAGATGTTTGAATCTTGGTCATTTAAATACACCAAACTCCACGTGTTTTATATATGGAGTCCAACACACGTCATCATTATTATGTAACAGCCGGGTACATTAACATCCATTTCAATAACATAACATAATAGAGAGAGAGAGAGAGAGAGAGAAAACGCAATAATAAAATCGAAAATTACAGGAGGGAAGAGGACAGAGAAAGAGAGAGGCGAAGGAGGAAGGAGATCTGTTCGAACCAACACAAATCTCCCCGATCAGATCGGACCCTTTTGTCTGCAAATTAGGGTTTTGCCTCCCCCAATTCCTCTCCCAATTTTTCAAATTTTGAAACATCTTTTTTTTGCCGTTAAACACACACCCCTCGATTCATACACCACATAATTCTCTTTTCTTTCTCTTGATCTGAATTGGATCGTTATTTCCAAGGTTTGTTTATAGGGTTTTTGATGGCGATTCGTCAATGTTTAGGTTCGGTTTGTAGAGTTCGTGAAAATTGATGAGTTTAAGGAGCTTTGAGGTTGGGATTTGTGTGCATTTCAATGGCGTCGGCTCAGGTTTTACCCAGTACGGCTTCTACCGCCAAGAAGCAAGAGCATTTGGAAGCTGGAAAGCGACGGGTATGGTTTTGCTCTCAAAATTTGATTGCTTCTGTGTATATGCTCATATGGGGTTATCAAGATTTTTTATTTTTAATTTATTTTTCTTGAAAATGTTCAAATGAGGTGGTTGTTTGGATAGTGACATTTCGTTTTTGTTGGCTCTTGATCAATTATACCAAAATGGGTAAGGGTAACAACTGTGGAATTTTGGGACAATTTGTAATAAGGAAGATGGGTTAAATTTGAAAACTTTTTAGCAGTTATTTTATGGGCATTAGTGAAAAATAAAAGAGGGTTTCAAAGCTTCAAACCATCTTCTGAGTTTTGTGCTTTATGCAATTGTATAGATAGTGTTGATAGTATAAATGTAAGCATGTGTGTACGTACCTTTATTTTAATGTATACACATGGATATTCACGCCTATTGGGTCAGCTAATTGGGGAAAATGTCAGTTGATCCACTTGAAGATTGCATGCAAAACCTTGGAGTTTTCCAGAAACTTTAATTAGAAGTTTGCATTCCTTGTTTAATGGGCATCCTAGGTAATCACACATCAATTGTTGTATGGGCACAAAAGAATTGTTTCATTTTGTCCGTAAATGAGGGCTAGTCCTACTTGTGCTTGATCAGTCGAAAATAGAAAGTGCTGGATAGCAGCTTGGATTGTTGACTCAAGAGTGGTTTAGGTTTGATTTATTGAGAATTTATTGTCAAACAATCATTGGTTTCAATACAAAATCGAGAGTCAGATCAGAAAAGTAAGACTTTACCTTAGTGACATCATTATAGAGGCTCATGGTAAATTTTGACACTGCTAGCAATGTACAGTAAAAAACATTCCTCTTTCATAACTAGTTGAACTTATGCAAAATTATGAATTAAATGTTCAGCCTGCTCGATACTGGGCTGATTCGAAATTGGCTCTGTTTCCCTTGTTTATTAAACAAGCTTTTAATCAGGGCACGAGCCTGGTGATTAACTGAAAAACAAGTCTGTAATTGAGTGGAAACCTAGATATTTCTTAGCTTGGTTCATTTGCGATATTGGTTCTCATTTTAATGAAGAGTTGTTATTTATTGAGCTTTTGCATGGATGGTTATATATGCTTATGAAAACTACATCTGGCCAGTTATACCTTGATGTTTGGACACTTGAAATTTGTGGGAATTCCAAATTCGTGAAAAGAGATAGAAGGATGCCAACTTAATGCTAGGCATCAAGAGTTTCTTAAAGCTGACTATTGATAGGGAAAAGGCTTGGCTTGACACCATGTTTTCAAGTTGGAGCACAAGTTCTTACACCTTTATTAGATAGGGCCTATGCTACCTTCATTAGTCAGTGGGGCGAGACAGGGCCTATCCTTGACAATTTGGGTGCTCTGATGCATTTGGATGTGTTTGCCTCAACCAATTCTTCCATATGTAAGCTATCCCATGCACAAAGGAGTAGTTTGGTTGGTTGGTTTGAAGAAGCTAGCAAGATGTTGAGCCAAAAGAAGGGTGACAATGTGGGTCGCTGACACTGCTCATCCACTAAGAATACTTTTGGAGGGTGGTTGAGATATTGGTACGGGGATTTGAGTGGTGCCAACCAGCAATATGAATTACATGCTGTAAGTTAGAAGCCTCATAAGGTGTAGGTAGAGCATGTGTTGTATTTGCAGACAATAAGGAACCCATGGCTATCTCTTTATGAATTTCCTGAGAACTTATGTATTATCGCAGCAAATATCAGTTGCTTTAGGTGGATTTGGTTTTGTTGCTCCCTATTGGAATTTAGTCCTTTTAAAATATATATGTTTACAAGCTTTGGCAACAGTGGGGGACGTAAGAGTCTTGGTGGTGGTCTTTTGTTGGCTCTGAATTTTGTCATTTGGATTATTCATTTTTCATTTTTTCAGATCTGTTGGTTGGAAGGTGATGAGATGGACTTTCAACTAAGAGGGGTGCTTCATCCATTGATTGTGTTAGGGATCATCACTGCCCCTTGATTCTGGATTATTGGGTGGTTTTGTGTTGGGGGCTATGCTTCTGTTGTGTAGTTTGTTTTACTTTAATGGTTGTGTGTCTTCTCTACCCTGCTAATGATTAATCACTCTTTGTTTTTTGTGACAAAATAAAAACTAGAATCAATGATTGTTCATGCTACATTTTGTTCTCATCTTTGTATGTGATTGTGTTCCACTCAAGGTCATTTGGCTGGAGAGAAATGCGCATGGTTTGAAGGAAATTATTGTGATGTCGACTTTTTATGGAAAGAGGTCGAGACAGAGCTTCTTTTTGGGCCTCAGTGAATCCTCTTTTTAGAAGGATCCCACTTTTTTTGATTGCTGAAGATTGGGTGTCAGTGTGTGATATGTAGTGTGATTTTGTCTTGCAACTTTCGTTCTTGCTGTTTTTTCTTTTTCTTTTTTTTATATTTTATTTTCTTTGTAGAGGATGCCTCATCCTTGTTTCAGTTTTGTTTTGGCTTTGTGCCTTAATAAAATCTTTTGTTGTTGATCAAAAAAAGAAAATAAAATGAATGATTCGATATTTTTGAGTTCAAATATTCTCCTTTACCTGTTTTTGGTTAATCTTTCCACGAGTAAATTACTTTATTTAGGCATACAAGCCAAAATTTCAAATTTAATTCAGTCTGCTTTTATCTTGTCTTGCAGCTGGAAGAGTTTCGTAAGAAGAAAGCAGCAGACCGAGCCAAAAAGTCTGCGCCAGCGATCAATGCTAATGTTGTTCGACATGATGAGCAACCTTTAGACAATCAACGTGTAAGGCTTACGGATTCAAATGGGGTTGGTACATCGGATGGAGTTAGTGAAAAAGTTGAACCATCTCGTGTAGTTTTTGATGATGAAAACAAAGCGAATGAGTTTGTCCAAAAAAATGAGCTAGGTTCTTCTGACACAAATGCTAAGCCACCTGTGCCAACAAACTATTATAATGCATTTTCTGCAGCAACAGTGCAGGCACATATGAAGGATCAAGAATTTGATAGGTATAATGCATTGCACTCTACTGGAACTGTAAATGTGAATTATGGCCATCAGCCACAAGAGAAGAATGATGACTTAAGCATTTCTACTGGAGCCTCAATCAGACATGGGGATGGGATTGCAACTGACCAATCCGTTGCTTTTCGTCCTCAAGTGGTCTGGGAAACTGATGGCAATTCTGGTCAACCTGGTCCTTATGGGTTGGAGGGAGCCCATTCAAAAGATAATGATCATGTCAAGGATTTTACGGTTACAAGTTCTGCTACTCATGATATTGTTGCAAATGTCTCTCGTGAAAATTCTGGTAGTTTCCTACTGCAAAATAAGTTTGGTTATACTAGCCCACAGGCTAGTGGTCTAATGTCCTTATATGGAGGTAGTATTACTGTCATCAGTTTTTCTTTTTCTTATCCTTGTTTTTTCTTTTGCGTATTTTTTGGGGGAAAAAAACTGGCTACAAAATTTTATTTTTTGTTGTAGATTCTGTTCACCCTTCTACCAAGATCAGAGAGTCTTATGTTGAAGTAGGGCAAAACAGGCATGCTGTTCCAGAGTCTAATAATACTATGACTTTTGATGTGGAAGAAAGAAAACTTAGTAATTCTGCTGGTCATTTGCCTGGTGGAAACAGCACTCCATTTTGGCCATCTGAATCTCGATCTACTGCCTTCAGTTTTGATCTCAGAAGTTCATCTGATAATCTGCCGTTGTATCCAGACATAGCTGAAACTAATACTAGGAGATCTCGTCCATCTTTCCTTGATTCTCTTAACATGCCAAGTGCAACATCTGCTTCTGAGAAGCCATTTACTGAGACTGAAACTACTCAAACTTTCTCAAAGTGGAAGTCTTCGAATGTGCCTAGCGCATTTGAGCATTCAAGGACCTCAGCAATTTCTTCTGGACATGGGGATGACATGTTCAGGCATACTGTCAATGACAACAGCATGGAGAGGAAACGTGACTCTTATTCACGAAAACAGGATGAAGATTTCGCTGCGTTGGAGCAGGTTCATATATTTTCTTTGGCTTGAAGTTTTATTAAAACGTTCTCATAATATGTGCTTAGTGTAATCAATGGCACTTTGATCTCTCAAAATACCAGCAAAGCAGTGGAAAAGAGCCATAAAGTATTCAATAGTGTTGTGCACCAACTATTTTTTGCCTGACTTGGGTTGGGGAGATAGTGGTGGGGGAAGGATGACTTCAATAGTGCTCAAAGAAGAAAGGAGGCCAATAGATATTTTCTATCTTACCGACGAGCACCAGCTTCAACTTATTCGGCCTAGCAAATTTTAATAATGATTTAGATACCTTCTGCTAAGGAGTTGTGTTTATGGTTTTACGAGATCTCATATTAGTTAAATGTCAATTTGATAGTTTGTGTGACCAATAGGAAAGGTTGGTCTGGCTATGGGGATCTTTCTTTTGTAGTGACTTTATGAAAAGTCATTCTCTCCAATTTACTCGTGTCCTTTTTTAGGTCTGAACCCATGTCCTATTCAGCCTGCTTCTTGTCCATTGAGCACGTTTAACTTAGATCAAGTAACTCCTTTGTACCATCACAAATGCAACCAGTCAACTATTGATGTACCAACAAAGAAGATTGTATTAGCACTCAATCACCTTTGTAACCATTTGTTCAACGTGATCAAGTCTGAGGGAATTACCATTATCATTTTTGACAATTATCTCCTTTGAATGGCCATTAAGTCTATCAACCTTATCAAAAATTAATACTCCATTAACATCAAAATCAAAGGAGAGATCAACCAACTGTCTTTTATTGTTGACATCTCACTATGATCATCTCTATCTCTGTCTTGATAGGTCCAAATTACCGAGGTCATTTTAATGATGAAGCCTTTGACACAGGCAAATTTTCTCCTTCAGGATGATCATTGTCTAGGGGCATGCTCGATATGGTTACTTATTGTATATTGATTTGAAATGGACAGGATACAATAAACTTGGTTTATCTCTTTATATTCATCGTAATAGTTGTAATTAATACTCTCTATTAGCCTTGAGGTGGACAAACTGTACTTCCATTATGTCTCTAACCAAGTGGAAATTCTTTTGCCCCTCCCATCACCTTTTTTTGTTCCTCAGAGAAACAACTATTCTTATTTCATTGGATAACGACACGTATATTGACATTTTTTTTTCAACACTAGTTTCCTCTTCTATGAAAATTTTCATTTCATTTAATACATGGATTTTTTGGCTGATCACATTCTTAAGAATTTTAAGCTCCAATTTCAATTTTAATGGTCAATTTTCTTCTTACATCTGTTTTCTTTTTTTGTTTTTGCAGCATATTGAAGATTTGACACAAGAAAAATTCTCTATGCAGCGAGCTCTTGAGGCTTCAAGAGCTTTAGCGGAGTCTTTAGCTACTGAAAATTCGTCACTGACAGATAGTTATAATCAACAGGTTGGCTTGCATTGATGATTTAGACCATTGTGTTCCAAGATGGAATCATAATATTACTTACGCACGATACATGCATATATGTATTTAGCAATGTAGATGGCATCCATATCAACTGCTAAACCATGGATTAACTGCATGTTTTATGTAAAATGATCGAAATACATAAAATATATTTGCTTTTAGGGAATACCAATGGTGGATTACTTTTCTTTGACCATAGTATGTATCTCTAGTGTTAATTTTCAAACCTATGGGTCTGTGTCATGGCAAAAATTGATAAGAAGCATTTGAACCATCTTGATGAGTCAGAGGTTCAATACTGTTATGTCTAGGATTTATTTTGTTTTTACTGTAATGTGTCTCATGAAAGCTTAAAGAAACTTCTTGTGTTGCATGCTTTCAAATGTGTTTTTGGGGAACCCAAAACCTGGGCCAGCTAGTTTAAACATGGGCAAAAGATGGTAGGTGGCTTGTCAACCAGTTTGGAGGATTGGATTGAGGTCTGGGAATGTTCCCATAAATTATTTGTGTCCAATCATATTGTCTCTTACGTGGCTTTTATGGACCAAGTCTATGTGTGTGCATTAGTCTTTATGTATATTCATTCTTGTCTGTCTGCTTAAGCTTTCCATTAGTCGCTTGATTCCACTCGATGGTATTATGCTTTACGTTGATGTATTTCTTTCCTTTTCAGGGAAGCGTTGTCAGCCAACTAAAATCTGACATGGAAACGCTACAAGAGGAAATTAAGGCCCAACTGGTTAGTATCGATCATGTCCTAACTTACTGGGAAAAGTGAGCTTATTTTATTGAATTTTCATTAGTGAATTTCGAATCTTGCAGCTGTATACCACCTGTTGTAGCACCTTTGCAAGGTTGACCTTTGTAATTAAACCTGAACAGTTTGAAATTTTTTTTCTCCTTTTTGTTTTCTTTTTTTATTTACGTTTTTTTTTTTTTTGATTGGATAAAGATGAGATTTGACATAATATAAGAGAGCAAAGAAAGAATACAATTGGGGAAGCTTACCTTACGCGCATTTTGAACCATGCCAAATTTGATTGGAAGTATTGGGTTTTTGGCCCTTGTTCACATCATTGGTCAAACATGGGTTACATTCTGCATGCTGAGTTCAAAATTGTTGTAAAGTCTTTTCCTTCTTAATGCCATACTTTTTTTTTTGTGGCAGTCTCCACCAGTGGCCATAGTCTTACTACTTTTGTATCCCTTAAAACTTATCACTCTTGTTGGTGTAGTTGTTTATCTTTGTTGCGCATGACTAAATCATACCAACTTAGTTTCTTTCTTTAAACCCCTGATTAGATTATTCATTAATCATTGCAATTCTCTTTATATATACATGTATCTAGGGGTTATATATTGCCTGTGAGTTAACAATGATGTATATGTGTATCGTATATATTAGCTTGCCCTACTACCTCTTTTGTCATAGTCACATAATTATGGATCGAGAGATTGGTGAATAAAATTTAAATAGTTCAAAATTGCCTTCGAAGTAGACAACCTGAAGCACATCTGGGGGATAAGTAGGTGAGGGTTGTCCCACAAGGTAATCACACTAAGATGTTACATTTAGTTACGGTATTCTTCTTGATTGCTGCTGATATGGGGAGCTTTCTGATTATGATGTTTTAGGCGCGGGAAAATGAATTGCTTAGTCAGCAAGATGGCCTTCAAGTCAAACTATATCAGCACCAGTGCTGATCATGGATTATTGTCTGCTTTAATATTGGAATGAGAATTGTTATCTTGCTTTCTAGTCTTAGAAATAATTTTTTTTTTTTTTTTTTTGAAGTTGTTAGATTTATAACTGAACTTTTTAAGAAAAGCCTAGAAGCCAATTGTAAAGGGACAATCTATTTCATTATTCCCCAGTTAGCATTATAATTGCTGAAGGGACTGGTGGAAACTGTTCATCAGAATCGAATCAAAACTTAAATCTGAAAGAAGATGCTATAGGTAATTGCAAACAGAGTGGCATACTTTCTAGTTGCAAGAGTTGCAATAAATTGTACATCATCCACGACTCCCGGAAAAAAAAGATTAACAAGGTTACAAACAGGCTACTGGCAGCATGAGTGCATGCTTCAAACATGACACTGGTATAGGCTTATATTTCCTTTAAAAATCAAAAAGTAATTTTTTAATTATGCGGTCATGCAAGCACATACACATAATATTATGGCCTCGTTTGGGAAGTGGTTATTTTAGTAAGCTATTTTAGTTTTTGGTTATTTTAGTAGGCTAAAATTTTTGTGTTTGGGAAGATGATTGGATTTTTTTGTGGTTGGATGTGATGTTTGTGAGAGAAAAAGTGAAATGATTATGGGTTTGATGTGATATTTTGTCTTATTAGCTATTTTAGCCTATTTTGTCTTTTTGTGATTTTTAGCCTAAATTAGGCTATTTTTTTTCTTCCCAAACACCCCCATATATGACAAGAAGTTTTAAGGTTTAGTAGTATTAAAATCATTTTTTTGACTTTCATCCTTGAATTTTATTATTATTTATTATTTTATCGTTTTTACTTCTGTTTACTTGAAGATTGGTTCATCTTGAGAGCAGATAGACTTGCACTTGGGGAAAAAGAAGTTGAGGACATATGGGGGAGGCAGGTACCAGTGCTTTTTGTAGAAGAGAGGCCCTTTGTAGTTATAGTAATTACATTGCATCCATAGTTTTGAGGGTATCAGGTAACATAGGCTTTTGACTGGGGTGTATTGGGGGTTGGTCTGAAAGTACACCACTTGCTGTGATAACAAAATCTTTTTTGCCTTCTATGTGAGACTAAAATTTGTCAACTTGCACAGCAATTCAACCAGACCAATATAAAACAAACTGTAATCAAAACTACAAAACATCAATTTGTACATGAAAAACCCAGTAAGGGTAAAACATAGGACTGTAATAATCGAAAGTTCAAAACTACCAAACACCATTTTTTACATGGGAAACCCGTTTAGGTTAAAAGCCATTGGACCATAGTCCAATTTCAAGCTTCCACTATATCAAATAACCAGTTTAGAAGTTTTTGTTTAGGAATGAGTATATTTGTGAATGGGTAGGACTAGCACTAATAGAAGTTAAGTTGAGAGAGAATAGATTGAAATGGTTTGATCATATACAACAGAGACCAATAGAGGCAGTAGTGAAAAGATGTGATACAGTGATGGTAGGGGAAGTGTTAGGGGGAAGGGGCAGACTTAAATTGACGTGGGCTAGTGTAGTAAATAGAGATATGAATCCTCTTAATTTGACTAGCCAATGGCTTTTGATGGAGTCGAATGGAGAAAAAGGATTCATATAGTCGGCTCCATTTGAGGGGACTTGAGGCGTGGGTTGGTTTGGTTTCTGTCTTGGCACAATAACATCAAGAATAAAATTATTCTTGGCAAACAAACATTTGTTCACCCTCTGGTCTATTCCAACTCAATAATATGAGAGAAAAAGGTGAGGTCCACCAATTTGAACAGAAAAGGCCTTGTAGAGAAATCACTGCAGAAGGTTTGATAAACAATCCAACTAGTGGATAACAAGTATCCTACATCAAGAACAAAAATCTGAGTTTGATCGGGATCTAAATTGCCTTCTGATCATAGTGAGTAAATGGGCTGGTCTTTCCTCTCAAATGAGAAATTCTCTCTCTCTCTCTCTCTCTCTCTCCATTTGTCACTCTACACGATGGGGTCCTTATCACTCTAACTCAATTTAATTTAATTAATTAATTTATTTTTTGTATTGACCCACCAAAGGTGGGTTATATATATAAAGGTGGGATTATATCATACTTGGCTTCATAGGGAAGCCTTGTGCACAGACAGATCAATTCTTTTTGTTACATGGGCTTAGGCTACCCACATGAGGTGGACCCAACCTAATAGGGGGAAGGGGGAGCAGCTTGGGGAATGTTTGGGGGGCCCACCTTCAAATCTCATGGTCTCAAGAGTGGACATGGTGAAAATATTTTAGTTGGAGTGGTAAGTTTGCCTTGAAAAGATAAATTTGATAATAGATAGGTGGATTTTAAATGATAAATATATTCTATTGAAAAATCAGGGGTTTGCCAAGGGCAAAAGTAGAAGCATTAGGTTTCATACAAAGACAGTGAATGAATATAGAATGTAGTAGGACCCATAAATAGTTGTGGAAACTTGATGGCTGAGCTTTTGTGTTTGAAGTTATGTTGAATTCTTAAATTCCTAAACGAGGGGTGGGGTTTGCTGTAGGATTGGATGTCATGCAAATAGCACGCACAATTTGGTATTGGAAGAAAAATTCTTGGCTTTAAAGGGTTGGAATTTGCTCAACTTTACCGGTGTTTGGCTCTTGGAATTTAGAAAATAATAATAATAAAAAAACTCCCAATTAGTACCTATTAATGGGTGTTTGGGAGGGGTAGCTGGAAATTACGGGCAACAATTTGAATTGCATAAATGTGATCAGAGAGGACAAGCAGAAAAGAAGAGAAGAAACATATTTTTAGTAGGTGCCAAAAGGTGTGATTCCCATTTCCATGTGACTTGCACAAAACAAAACTACATATCTACGTCCTTACACAGTAACAGTCATATTTTTCTTTTCTTGTGATACAGTAACAATAATCTGGTTTTTCTTTGCCCTTAAAAACTCTATGACAACATGTTAACCTAAAAGTAATATGAACTCAAACTTGACTCAACCCAAAACTTGATTACTCGAGGTTTGAAGTGGGCATCCTATGTTCCCAATTTGTTGCCTTTTCTAGTATGATTCTACACATTGATCAGTTTTAAGGTTTTGTTGCTCATTTGTCCATGGATGGAAGTCAATTTTTACATAATAACTACATTTTCTTGTCCTCTTCATGATGTTTGCATGGCATATGGTGTGCCCACTATAAAAAATATGTTTGCAAACTTGTTTACTTATCTTTTATGTTGGCAGGTGGAACTTGAGTCTATAAAAATGGAATATGCAAATGCTCAACTAGAATGTAATGCAGCTGATGAACGTGCCAAATTGTTAGCTTCTGAAGTTATTGGCTTAGAAGAGAAGGTAGTTTATGTTTGTGGTAAATATAGTTTGCCTCCTTCCCCCCTGTATCTTTCCTAATAGGATTCCATTCCACTTTTTTCCCTTTTGTATGTAAGTTCTTTTTATGGTGAAAAAACTACAAAGTTATCCTCAGATTATATTGGTGATCTGCTACATATCAGATTAAATCTGTAGCAGTTTGTTTTATGATTGTATGGCACATTGTATAATAATAGTTAATAACACTTAACAGACATCAAACCATCTCAGAAAATGAATGAACCTTCTTCTGGCGAGAGAAAGTTGTTAGTGTAGAAATTCAAAAGGAAGGGAGGAAGGTGTTTTTTTGTTTGGACTGGTGGACTATTGACTTAATTGACTCTCCCTAATTAGTTTTTGCCAACTATTATGAATATCTCCCCTTATGATGGCCATAATTTGTTATCAACCAGAAAAAGTTGTTCGACTCAACTTTGTGAAAATATATGTATCAAAGGAGATATAGTTTGATGAATTTTGAAAGAAAAAATCTTTGCATCCATTGGTCTTTAAACTTCAATAAACAATATCCTTAGACACAAGTTATCCATGCTGTTCATGACTCTTGGCAGCAGTTTATATTGAACTAAACATCCAACTGGTCCTTTAAAACTTTAGCATCCAATAACTGCAAGCAGAGATGCAACCAACCTATCATTTCAATCCCTTTTTAGATGTTTAGATTGGTGCTTTATGAAGGATGTAAGAATTACCTGAATTCGAATCGACCATAACAATTGTGCCTTCATTTCCTTCCTCTACACCTTTAGTTGCTTGTTTTAGAAATTACCTTAATTTGAATGCATAATGAGAATTGTTTCTTCATTCCTCTACACCTTTCATGATAGATCCACCCTCCTTGTTGATATTGTAGCCTTTGTTCATTGGTCCTGTTTTGATGTTCAAGTTTTGGATCCTGCATAGTTTTAATATTTCTTCTCAAGAGCCCCCATTACACAACTAACCATCTGTCAAACAGTATTTTTCAGGTTCATCATTTAATTTATTTTCAGTGCTTTGATCTGTAGCTGGTTTTGTTAATATAAAGTATATTGCCACTATAATGATGTTAGATCACTACTATTGCATTGGATTTTGGAAGCATACAAATCTCAAATTATAAACAGGTGGTCATCTGAAGGGATTAAACTTCCAATTAGCAGTGTAAAAGGATCTCTACCCCTTTCTTTGTTTTTGTGGTTGGGAGGGGAGTGTCCCTTTTCCTTAGACTCTTTCTGTACAGTTCATTGGTGATCTATACATGCCTATGGATGTATATTTTATAGCTTGAGTATAGGTTTTTACTTATGGAAAAAAGAATTATGTAAAGAAGAGTATTGAATTTACAAGGACCATACTTCAAGAAATTTGTTCTTATTTCTTTTCTTTTGGGGTCTGTGGGGAGGAGGTCGGGTAGGGTTATGTCCTACTTTTAGGAAATAAAGAATAGTAAATTAGAAATTGTTGACAAAGTTAGCTCATTGAGTTGCATTTCCTAATTAGGATCCTTGGGTTTCCACCTTGCAGTGCTACTTGAATGTTGAAGGAGACTTGTTGGTTGTTACAGTTTTGTGGCACCCAATTAGAATGGAGTATATCATTGGGAATTTCCAATTAGTATTACCAGATTAGACATCTGACTTGAAGAAAATATTGAGTTTTCTCTATTTTTAGACATAGGCTTTCTTGCCACATGTTGTGTGATGTATATAGATAGAGATATGTATGCGTGTGTATAATTATAATTTTCATGCTTTTAAATAAATGCAGTAATATGTGATATGTATGAAAATCATAAAATTGGATTGTATCTAGGAGAGGATTGTACGCTAATGCTAGTCTATGTTACATGGACTCTTCAAAATAAATCAAATGCTAGGTGTGGGATATTTGATTCATAATCAAATACTATCATTATATGTATATATTGTTGTATAATTGCTATAAAATTAGTAAAATGCCTTTTTTACACTGCATGTTATATACAATATAACCAAGGTTTTAAAAAGCGGCCGCAACCGTTACGTAACGCCGTTACGTAACGGTTTTGGTGGTTACCGCCACCCGTTACGGCCGATTTTGCAGTGTGGTTGATGGGTCTGACCTCTAGATATGCAGATGTAACCGAGTTCATGTAACATGGATGCTAGTTGCCAACTAGTCAGTGGGATCTGCCTCTTTGAACGTCATATTTGGCTTAATGGATGCTGCTTCTGGCAGATCTACTTATAAACTGTGAAAATGACGTGAACACAATGGTTGGTGAAGGATATTACTTTATTGTGAGCAGGCAATTTTGAGAATTGTTTTTAATTTCATCAATTGTAATTAAATTTTTGCATCCAAAACTAGCTATTTGGGTGAAATGGACCATTAGTTAGAATGTTGTACGATTTCAACTTTCTCCCTTTGGAAGTTAGGGAGTAATAGTAAATGCTTGACAAATTAGACAGTTTTATGGTTGTAATTACTTTCTTCTAGAACTGAGAGGTGATCGTTAATCTATTCGCTCTTTTGTTTTCTTCTGTACATTTTATGGATATAGTTTTTTTTCTTTTCTGTTTTGTGTATGTGCTTGTGAGCACTTGATATTCCTTTCTAATTAGTTTTATAAAGTGGTAGTAGACTTGCTATTATTTTTTGTGATATTTCATTCCGTATTTTTTTTCCTGAATGTTAGATTTAGCTTACTGAGTGAGCTGCGGCAAATTTTTTGTGGGCAGCTCCTTCTCTCTCTCTCTCTCTCTCTCTCTACTTTCATTTATGTGCTATCTAATGTATCTTTTCAGGCACTCAGACTGAGGTCTAGTGAACTAAAACTGGAGAGGCAATTAGAGAACTCACAAGCTGAAATTGCTACATTCAAGTATGCCTTCTCTTTTGATGGTGAAAGATGAATTTTATGATCTCCATGCTTAGTTTTACTTATTTCTGTTTCTCTTGTATGTTTTTGGCGTAAGCTGTTTCTTAAATGGTGTTGACATCATCTGATGCTATTCATGGATAAGCATTAATATTGCAGAATTATTTTGGGAATTGCAAGTAATTCGGAAATTATGTTTGATGCTGTGATGATTTTGGCCTTGAACCGTAGTTCACCAATGACTGAATTATTCACAACAAAGTGATTTAAGAATTGTTATTTGACATGAGTTGTTTACACAATATTAGCAGTGTATTCAAGGAAAAAAGTGATTCTATCATACTTTTCAGTAACCTGGGTTGCACTTGGTTATGTACAATGATTTAGCCTTTTATTTGTATAAATAATATAAATCAATTATGATAAGATTGTTAATTGCCAATTGGAAAAAGAATAGAATAAAGAAAAATATTATTAATTCAACCAAACTGTTTGTTGCTTCATTAGATTAAAGGCTATGCTCGAATAGTTGAGTATTAGCAGTGTATTCAAGAAAAAAATTGATTCTATCTTACTTTTAAGTTATCTAGGTTGCAAATGCACTTGGTTATGTACAATGATTTAGCCTTTTATTTGTATAAATCAATTATGATGCGGTTGTTAATTGCCAATTGGAAAAAGAAGAACAGAATAAAGAAAAATATTATTAATTCAACAGAACTGTTTGTTACTTCATTAGATTAAAGGCTATGCTTGAGTAGTTGAGATTTCTGATTCTGTTGTAAGATATGCTTGAATTGCTGAAATTTCTGATTCTTTTATAAAATAGAATGGAACTTAGTTGGTATTGATGTGCATTTCTGAAATGGTTAGTGAAGGAAAAATATTTTTTAGTTCTCTTTTTTGCGACACTCTTGTGCTTGATGATAAGAATAATAATTATGAATGATACATGAGAAGGAGAAGATGACAATGTAGATTGGAGACACATGTATGATCAGTTATTCATAACTTGCACAATGTGGCTTAAGAGTTTTCTGGTTTTAATTTATAGAAATTATAGACAAACAATCTTGTACACTGGGGATGAAGGTGACAATTGGTGCTTTCCGTGTTCACTTGCTTCTTCTTTCTATCCACTTTCATTGTTTTTATTATTATTATTTTACCTGCATATAGCAGTTGTATCTCCAGGCAATATTCTCTTTTTTGATAATTCATATGTTTGATCTTGGCTTAAATCATCCGACAAGAGGATGAGGCAATTTCCAGCAGGTGCTGTTTCTTAGCAAGTTTTCTTCAGCACGATTAAATATTTGACGATAGCCTTTCCATGTTGAATTTTGTAGAAAGAAAATGTCAAGCCTTGAGAAAGAGCGTCAAGATTTGCAATCGACTATTGATGCTCTGCAAGAAGGTTAGCATGCTTATTGCGCTTAATTATTGCATTTTCTTTGCACAGTAACGTAAAAAGAGAAGTATGAAAAGAACATGTTGAGTGGTCCTCATTGCAAAATAATGTAACATCTGAGAGAGCCAATGCATCCTAATCATCTTACTCTCTCACATAGCTCCATACGAAAATGATAATCTAAAATGAATCGATAGAGTGTGTGTAAGTTTCGTCAAATGTTCTCAACATATTTCCCTCTAGATTATCCAGGAACTGTAAACAATGGTGCAGTGCAGTGTGATAAATTTTCCCTTCCATGTATAAAAGCTATGGCTGCCAATCTTCAAACTTTCACTATGGTAATTTATGAGTTTCATAGATTAGACATCTTGCTTTCAATGTCTTTTGTTAGGATTTCTAGTGATGAAAATGTCTGATGCGTAACAGTTCCATATTCTGTTACTTTCACGGAATGATTGCCATGCTTTAGTTTATACTCTCCCCACATCCTCCCCTTCTTTTCTCCGGCATGAATCTTCTCTGCAAAAACTTTTTGGGCAACTTAATGTTCTTTCTGGCATCATCTTCTTTACTAACTTTCTCAAATCTTATTCTCTTTTCTGCATTTTTTATTTCCTACTATCATACCAGCTGATCTTTTTTTCTGCTGTCCTCTTGTTTTCTTTATTTTTCTTCATGTCTATTATTGTTAGTCCTTATAGGCGTCTTTATTGGCTCTGTTCTTCTACATCGCTGATTCTCTATCCTTTCCTTTTCTCTCTTTGTTTCCTTCTTTTCTTCTGCTGTTGTTTATTCTGTTGTTTTTTTCTTTATTCCATTGACTTGCATATAGAGAGGTTTGCTTTGTGCTTTATGATCATAATGTTGGATTGTGAGGGTTGTTAAATGAGACAAGGATAAGATTATTGGTGACTTAATAAGAAACAAATGTGGTAAGTGACATTAGGCAGGTCAAGTAAGATAGGTTAGTAATTTTGTTTCAAGGAGTTCGTTTATTTGAATTTGATGTTAATGGCACTTTAATACTCAAGACAAGTAGACAGGTTTACTAATAATTGTGAGAACTTAGCTTTCACTTCTCAGAAGGTAAAAGTTTTGAGGCAAGACCATTCTGAGGAAGTGGTTAGAAAGGTGACTGAATTAGGAGTAAAGGACAAAGTGGGGTACAAGGTTTTAAAGGGGCAGTGCGGTGCAGGAAGAAGAAATCTGTTGTTGCTTTGTTTTTTTGCTTCACGGAAGAGTTCAGGAGGGAGTTTAAGGAGAAGCCTGCAGGCAAATCTTTTATTGCTATTGGAAAGACTGGAGTAGAGAAATAAAAATCTTTAACAGAAGATGACCAATCTACTTTTGAAAATTGGCACTAGTTTGAAGTGTATTTTTTGGTAGTGGGTCTCTTTTGGATTTTATTTGGGGTTTGTGTCTTTTTTTATACTTTTTATACTTTTTATTGTTTTCTTTTTCTTTTTCTTGTTTTCAGCCAATTCTCTAATAAAATTTCTTCATTCTTGATGGAAAAAAAGAAACAAATTTGTGGGAAGTCTCAAGTAGCACCTGTTAAAGATGAAATTAGGGAATATTTTGAGAGAGAGATAATTTGTTGGGGAAATTGCATTTCAGTGGAGCAGTGGAAAAAAATTGCATTTTCATGATGGTGCAACTCTCCTGTGTGCATGGTGCAAATTCATTCCTGTGCTTGGTGCAACTCTTCCTTTGTGTCAGAGTTGCACCAAGAAAAAATTCCATTTGTAGTGCAATTTTTTTTCCACTGCTCCATGTATTTGCTATTTTTCTAATTTGTTTATCTACAACATAGACCAACTAACCTACCAGTGTGGAGGAGCATTTGGATTCGATTTGAAATAAAGCAAAACAGCTATTCGTATTGCTAAAGGAACGTGAGTCGAGGTTGTGAGGAAGGATACGATTGTCTTTAATTAAACCAAGTAGATGTTTCACAAAGAGCTGTCTGGAGAAGATGGATCCATGTAATGACCCTTGAGTAGCTCTGATTAAGGTTTGTTGGATTATGTTTAGTTTAGACCATTGTATGTTTCTGACAAGGATATCTGAAGATATATTCCATGAAATAGGTTGCTATTGGAATTCTGATTCTCAGAAGTAGGGTGTTCCATCTAACGTCCAAATATTTCCAAGGAAAGTCATGCTCCACCAAGTGAAATTATTGTTTGTTACATATAATTTCTAATTTCTGATCTTTGTTAGGGCGCCATAGTTTTTTCTTAAGAAGATATTGTTTATTTAGTTATTTATTTATATGCTCCTTTCTCATTGTTCTCTTCACACAGAGAAAAAGCTGCTGCAAGCTAAGCTACGGAAAGCATCTGCAAATGGAAAGTTCATTGATGTTAACAAGGGTCCCTCTAACAAAAAAGATGTGTCAACTTCTACAGATGATTTGAGTATGTAATTCTGATAGCTCTCTGTTTTTATTTTTTTGTGCTTATAGTTCTCTATTTTTAGTCATTATGGATTGTACCTTAATAAAGTGTCTTTACCGATGCTATTAAAATTTATCCTGGCCAGCATATGCTGCATATCATTTGTCAAGTTTTTTAGCATAAAGCTTAAGTGGAACCTACTTTAATGCATATGCTGCATATCATTTGTCAAGTTTTTTTAGCTTAAAGCTTAAGTGGAACCTACTTTTATGTTGCTGCCAAGAGAATTGCATGTGTCAGAGCGAGTTTGTAAACCCAGAATTGTTTCAATGCTCTTACAGCATAGTTTCGAAACCAAGAATTATTTTTTGATGATTGCAGTTGGCATTGTGATTATATATCTGTCATGCTAGATGTTAATGGACTATTTTATTCTTTAAGTTCTTTAAGTATAAGATTCAATTACGGGCAGATGAGCCATCAGTGGTGGCTCCAGAAAATTTGGTTAGGGTATTCAAAAACTTGAACTTAAACTAGAATTTGTATAAAAGAATACACTTGTCAGTGGTTATTTCCCACTACTAATAAATCTTCCAATTTAAACTTCTCAAATCACAAGCAAAATACTATTGAATAAATTATTTTCAATGTAAGTAACTAAACAATCATTTTTTCATTAATATCCCATTTCGTTACGCAATCAATTCTTTACAAATTTTATGTCCTAATTTGACATAAGCTATATTTACTAAGAGAGCCATTTGTTTGGTACCTTTATTTTATTTGAAAAATAAATAGGAACACAGATATCAAACATAGTTCCACAAAATGTATGAATGGATGAGATTTTACAAGATTGATTGGTGCACTTTTGAAAAATCTTTTCTATTCCTACATTTTTTGTGTTCGAGTTTATGTTTGGTTTCTATAGTATTAGGCTTTTTCTTTTTTGTTTGAGGATAGTTGTTTGATCTTGAATATTACTCAAGTGGAATGTGAGTTGGGTGTGCAAAAATTGGAATCAACAAATTAGGTGTTCAAGATCTAAGAATTGGGTATTCAAAATCTTGATTCATTACTGATAAACATATATGAAACCTCAAAAAAAAAAAAAAAAACATCAGGGTATTCTATTGATACCCTTGAGTGTACATGCTCCGCCTCCCATGCGAGCCATGGATGTATTTGTATCATTACTAGTGATTATTGGATATTGATCGTGCTTTAACAGTCGTTTTCATTCTATGAATTTGATCACTCTTTTGGTTGTGTTTATTGTTAATTTAGTCCATGAGGACGATGCAGATGCTTCAGCGGACACCTCAAACCAGGAAATGCACAGTACTGCACCTTTTCTCAGAAGTGAAGCCTCCAGTTCCTCGTTGCTCCCTGAAAATAGACAGTTCAATCTTGAAGTTTCATCTTTAAATATTCCAGTTGATCAAATGAAAACGATTCAAAACATTAACACATTAATTTCCGAGGTAGCATGTGTTCCATCTTTATATAGATTTCAGTTCAGTTGTTTCTTGCAGGATGAACCTTTTTTATTTCATTTTTGTGAGGTTCTGATATCTATATTTTTCCCTTTTTCATATTTGATATTTTTAGTTACCTGATGAAATAATTGAAGTAATATTATTGAGTATACTTTTAGAATTACCGAGTTCTGGACTTTGTGTTTGCAGTTAGCATTGGAGAAGGAAGAGTTGATGCGAGCATTGCTTGCTGAATCATCTGAAAGTTCCACGCTGAAGGTAATGTTGGTTTTAATATATAAACGGAGTCTCTGGTTCAACTGTGGCAGTATTGAAATGTTAGAACCAATTTGGGTTAAGGATGGTAGTATTGAAATGTTAATAGTCTGTGGGTGTTTGTTTTATGTTGATTGTAGGAACACCTTATTGCATATTATTCTGAGGACCAGGATCCACCATTAAATAAGCCTCATTGAAAGACCAATATTATTAAAACTGAGATACTTCAGTGAAGGTTTACGACCCTTTATATAAAATAATAATCCTATTCCTAACAAGACATAGAATAATGAACAAAATTACCAACAATTGCAAATTTCTATTAGATTCAAACTGAGATACTATAAAGTATAAGAAAAGTGTCAAAAAAAAAAAAAAATGAAAACTCCTAAATTAAGTCATAACTAAATTATAACTTTCTAGAAAGGGGAACAAATGTGAATTTGGGAGCCAAAATGAGAGAGTTTGGTGGCTTAGGTCACGGTGAAGCAGTGAATTTTTGTTGTTGGGCTGTTTCAGATCGAACATGGGTTGTTCTGGCCCAAATTTGCAACTTTGAGTGGATGCCTAAACTAACTGACACCGCATGTTCTACATCATATTTAGAATCAAAAGACATGGTGAAACATTTCACTTAATGTAATTTATAGTTATGAAATACATTGTTGAAATCTGTGATTTCATTATTTTTGGGGTTAACATACAGTAAGATTTTAAGCTGGAGATTTCTGTGCATTTTATTAATCAATGCGATGCAGTGAAATGAAATCTTAGATGTCAATATTGTATTTTAACTGAATAATAATCTTCTAATGTTAGATTGGAGAAACTGTTATTTACTTAATTTTTCTTACATGCATATTCATTCACACTCATCTACTTATCTTCTTTTTAACAATGGATTCTGAAGTTCGATTGGAATCATAATTGTTTATCTAAACATAAAATCTAGCCCAATATCTGCCTCAAAATTGTTTTGTTGACGTACAATTACTTATCTGAGTTTGTTGTATGACTTGTCTTTTAAATTTATTTGTTTTCATTTCTTCTAAATGAAGGAATTGAACAAGGACTTATCCCGAAAACTTGAGGTTCAAACGCAAAGATTAGAGCTTTTGACTGCTCAAAGTATGGCACATGAAAAGATTCCAACACAACTACCAGATCCTAGCAGCATGCATGACTACACTCCATATGCAGATGAAGGCGATGAGGTACATTGTTAGTAATTGTTCATTTGTTTAGAATATAAACCATTTTCTGAACCCAAAAGGTTTGGGACTAATTGTATCATACTGAGGATGGCATTCAATGTCTTGGCATTCTTAAAATGGTGGATGGTTGTTTTGCGCATGCGCTCTCTCTCTCTCTCTCTCATATTTATTTCTCTATCATCTGCCTTCTTATATACTGCAAGGAACATCATTTGTGTTTTTTATTTTTTAATTTTTGATTTTGTTTCTGCAAACTGATTTTCATACAAAGTATCTCACTTCTCTCTTTTCATTTAACTAGGTGGTGGAAAGGGTATTGGGTTGGATTATGAAGCTCTTTCCAGGTGGACCATCAAGGCGGCGAACCAGCAAGCTTCTTTGATTTGTGAGTGGTAAAGACAGCTTTCCAATGAAAAAGCATATTTGCAGATTCCTCCCCCACCCTTATTTTTGGTGGTACAGCAGCGGTTGCAATCTGTATATTGCGAGTCAATTACACCATCCATTCTTTTTTTGAGAGGCTTTCTAATCAATTGGAGGATGCAATTGTCGTCTCTCAACAGTTCTGAAAATAAAGATGTCCCATTGTTGCTTCTATTAGTAAACTTGGGAATGCAATAGTTTAGCGAGACATTTTTTGCACATGAGAGGAAAGTTACCAGAAAGAGAAAGAAGAGAGAAAATCATTTTGTTGCAAGAGTAGACATGATATTGTAATGTGTTGTTTCTTGTCATAATTATATTGTACGTGTGTTGAGGAGGTTGTTGGGGCTTAAAGCCCAATATATGAAAGAAATGATTTTTGGCAATTTTACATGTATAATCTTTTACATACTCCTATTCTTTTCTTTCTTATCAAGACTGTGTTTGGATTACGGATTTGGGTAAAAATTTGATAAGGAATATGGAAAAGGTAAGTGAAATATGAATGAGATGTAGTTACATTTTATTTATATTTCACCGATTTTTTCTTTCACTTTTCAAATTTATATCCAAATCTATGATCCAAATGTGGTCTTAAGAGAAACCTCTTCTGAACTGATTTAGTATAGATCTGAGATACTTTCAATCCAAAGCTAATGAATCACCCTTCTGAATATAGCTTAATGACTATTGCTACATCATTTCCACTAGCAATATCATCTAGCACCAAGGTAACAAGATGTCCTGAACTTGTCAAGTGCAAACCCTAATCTCCTTGCCATCACAATCTCTATCAATAATCCCCAAACCATCTGTATTCCGTTCAATGGACAAGGATGCAGCTGTGTTTAATTTAAGTGCCACATCTCGGCCTCTCCCAAGCTACCAGATTTGTATTAACAAAATGCTGGCGTAGCGCTCCTAGCAACTGCCCCTGCCTTCCAATGAAGTGTGGAAAACCCAGTCATTCCTTGCCTTCCAGATACCCTGAAAAACATGATAGATTCAGCCCCCAACAACTTCCTTCACATGAAGAGGAACCGCTACCATTGCACTCTTCCCACCATTGCTGAAAAGATTTATTTTGTGACTCCTTTGGCCGCACCTAAAGAGGAGAGGCAAGCCATGTCTTCTTTGCTTTTGGGCATCTCAATAGCAGATGATCAACTTACTATTACTTGTCTCCACAATCTACTGACATCCTCTTTTTGAGCAGGTTAATTCTTATTGGCACAATTGCATAAAGTATGAATGAAAATGACTTGTATTTTGGATTGGGTTAATAAGCTAAGCTTAACTTAAATGAGCTAACTTGTGTATTGGTCTTAAAAGTGGGCTATGTTGGTTGATTTGCGAGTTTGGCTCGTGGTTGGGTCCTATAACCAATTTACATTTTTTATTCAAAATTAAATATGTACAAATTGTATTTTTAAATTACAATAAATCAGAAACGTGATTGATTTGCAATCACTTTTTATTTTTTTATTTTTATAATTTATATTTAAAGCCTTGATGGCTAATCACATGTAGAACACACATAACTATTTTCATGACAAAACATGGTGAAAAGATCAACCAATAACTTTTCGAGTTTCACAAGCCATATAGCTTTAAGAGGATCTGTGGAACATACAAAAAAAAAAATTAAATATATATATAAACTAATATCAATCCTAAACTCAAGAAAACAAAAGAAATCCAAGAGATATGTCTAAAAACTATAGTTACTCCATGTCACCACTGTAGCCCAAATTAATCCTGCAAAGGAAGCTCGGCTGCGCTCAAACAGAACGCACCCGAGTTGTCAAGAGACAAAACGAGTCAGTATATAGATATACTGGTATGAGTACAAGATTTAACACCCACGTGTCCACTAGACACAATCAAAAATATATTTAATTCTTGTTACGGGACAAGACAAATAGTTCCATCCGCAGCGAGACGAATGGGTAGTTTCTCGAGATACGGTGACATTTAGTTTCTTACCCGTATACATCGAAATATAAATTGAGTATAAAATAAACAAAATAAAAATAAAAATATGGTGGGTCAACCTTGCATAAAAAAGTTAGTAAAACCCACTATTCTGCAAAAAAATATAGTATAATTTAGTCCTAAGTAACTTGTTGAAGAAGTATAAAAATATATCGTTTCATACTTAAATAATTCGAATTGATCAAAACTCAAAGAACAAAAGTTGTACATAAACAAATTTCCTAAAAGACAGCGCGAACGAAATTAATAGAAATTGAACAAGTTGAAAGAAAAACTTAATAGAAAATCCTAACCGAAATTCGATCGAAAAATCTAGAACTGAAAATGAAAATAAACTACTATAAGATGAATTTTTTTGGAAAAGTTCAAAACACGAAAAGTGTTCAGAATAATGTTTTACTTCAGTTTAATAGAAACCAACAAAAATGAACTCGTTTCGTGGGTTAAAACAACCTCTACAATCTGTATTGCTAAAATGAATCAAAACTACAATAACCAAGATCATCCGATTATAAGTTCTAATTGATATTTTTAATAAAAAGTTAAAACACAAAAGTTGTCTAGAATCACGTATACATGTCTCTGCTCAAATTTCATTATTTATTGAGGTTGTTTACTATTTTTCAACATGTACAAATCAATACAATTTACACTATACCAATAAACTCATAATTAAATTCTTTATACCTTAACTCCACCATTTCGGCCTCCACTTCCGGTTTACACATATATCCCATGTGCCTCCCGTATACCTAATACCGCTTCGAAGCCAAACTTGCACAGAGATATCGTCCCGAGTTTGACCCAAACTTCCTGAATGGTTAGCAAATACGTACGCTCGTAAATCAAAACACTCGTCTATTCATGAGAACGAGACAACAATATATATATACAAAACATCTCACTCAGGAGAACAAATATAACAATGCCAAGCCTCAGGCATTCAAATAAGTTTCATAATCCTCACTTTTTTTTTTATACACTCTCTCACCAGCACTCAAATAAAACAACAATTCATGGAGTCATGGTGGAGTATACGTAATTTATCTATAAGTTTATAGTTTATTTTAATTTCATATATCCATGAATGTGAAAATAAATATATATAAAAACTTTAAACCTTGCATACACAATTAACCAAAATAATTGAAATCAATCCATTATCTACATACACGTAAAATATTAAACCAATATCAAATAAATAAAAACAACAAAATAAACATAAATCAAGAAAAGTGGATTTTGCATTCACAATTATTTTTTTGAAGATCAAAGAAATACTTAGAGAATTAATAAAACCATCAAAATAAAACCCTAACCCTTTTGTTTTTCTCTCTACCTCTCCCTTCTCTCGCTCCCTCCCGTCTCTTCAATTCAACATCAAATAAATAAAAATAAATAAATAAAAACAAAAAATTAAATATAAATCAAGGAAAGTAAGTTTTATACTCATAATATTTTTTTAAAAAATCAAATAATCACTTAAAAAATTAATAGAATCACCAAAACAAAACCATAATCCTTTCTTTTTCTACCCTCTCCTCTTTCTCCCTTTGAACCGTCTCTATGCTCTCTCTCAGTCTCTCTCTCACTTTCTCCGCGTGTGTAGCTTGCGGCTTCTGTGTCCCTCTTTTCTTTTCTTTTATTATCTAAGTGAGGCTCTAATGCTTAACCTAATTGACATTATTTATATTTTATTTTATTAAATAATTGCAACATATATAAATATTATTTATAAAATCAATACATATAACACCCTTTTTTATATATAAATATAAATATTTGGATTAATTATTTATAATTAAATACCACATTAAACTAATTAAATATCACATTAAATTAATTAAACAACACATTAAATTCTCATCTAATCCACACAATTAATAAAGTCACAAATAAAATAAAGTAGTAATAGATAATAATAAATAATAACTTACTAAAAATTAAGGTCGCTATACTAATACATAATGTGGTATAATTTTAAAGGTTTTAGATATTTATAATTTATATAATAAATGTAATCAATAATCTATATAATAAAGCAAGATGGTTTTTGAATTTGTCCTACACACATTTGTCCTACTAGGACATTTGGACAGCTTAGATGTATTTAAATTATAAAACAACGGCTGAGATATATTTTGTAAAACATATATTACATGTGCATTTTCTACTTTCCCGCTTCTCTCTCTCACGTTTTCCTTTTCTCACCCATCCTTTCATGATCCCATGATTCCACCTTATATATTTTACACATATTTCCATATATTATATGTATGCCCATAGTACACTAGGACATTATGGGCATACATACAATTTTTATATCTATATAATAAAACAGGATGGTTTTTGAATTTGTTCTACTAGGACATTTGGACGACTTAGATGTATTCAAATTATAAAACAATAGCTGAGATATATTTTGCAAAAAATATCCTACATGTACATTTTTATTTCCCTGCTTCTCTCTCTTACTTTTTTCTTTTCTCACCCATCTTTTCATGATCCCATGATCTCACCTTCTTCTCTCTTTTCTTTTTCTTTTTTTATTTTTATTTTTCCCATTTTTATTATTCTCTCTATTTGTGTATTTTTTTTTATTTTCTCCTTTTTGTTCATTATTTTTATTCATGTTATATGGAAAAGTCTACGATCCCAGAATTAAGAGCCAGACTTTTTACTGTGTGTAGTGGAGATTAAATTAATGAATTTTATAGTCCACAAATTAAATGAATTTGAATAATTAATTATTATTTTTAAATATATTGAATACCTGATAAACTTTATAAATTTAGACTTTATATTTATCTTCAACATCTATATAACAAGGAAGCTAAGAATTTGATGCCGGATGGGACTTTTGTCCCTTTGTCCAAATTTTGACCATTAGATTGATTTTAATCTAAGGGTTAAAAACATCTCACTCACCCTCTCTCAACACACACCCTCTCTCTCTCTCACACACGTACTCCTCACCTCTCTTCCTGTTTTCAAATTTTGAACACCCACACACACTTTCTCTCTCTCTACCTCCATCAGAGCCCATTCCCGTGCTTCCCTGTCGAAGCCCAACCCTCACCGTGCTCCTCCTCCCTCCCTCTTTGCCGGAATAAAATAGATCAACAGGGGAACAAGGGTTGAAAGGGAGTCGTCTCTGCCAAAACCGGACCGAAGTCTATCCCCAGCCAGAGCGTCACTGTCCTCGGACTGAAGTCTGTATGTGTTTGTGTGTATAATATATATAATTTGCATTTTGGATGTATATATATGTAGATGCAAAGCAATGCAAGCTAGGGGATTGAAACCCAGAGAATGAAAGAGGCTTCAAGCAGAGGGATGGGAAGTTTCTGAGGGTGGTTGCCCCTCTCTGTAATCTGTATAATACAGAAAAAAGAAGCCTATGATTTCATCTTC